ATAAAAATAAAAATAAAAATAAAAATAAAAATAAAAATAAAAATAAAAATAAAAATAATAATAATAATAATAATAATAATAATAATAATAATAATAATAATAATAGCATGGTAGTATCAGGACTTTAAGTTGTAGAAACCTGCCTCTTTACTCTCTGAGCATTACTGATGCACCTCTACCTTTTTAAAATTGCACCTCAGCCTTTTCCTTAGTCTGATAAATGTCTGTTGGCCTGCATCCAATTATAGGAGGAAGAAAAAAAAATCTCAACAGTTTGAACATTTTAAACCACTTTCTTTCCTGCACTTTTGGCATAAAAGGGAATTGCAAGAAGTTTCAACATTTCTGATGCCATTTCTGGCTGTTTCTATGGAAATGAATGTCAGGATAGCCAAAACAAAGCAAGTAGTTTAAAATAATTGCTATATGGTCCTTATTTAAAGCTAGGCCCCCCATGTTTGTAGACTCGGCTTCCGTTTCTATGGAAATGGGAATAAATAAAGCAATCCAACTATAGACGTTTTCGTGTATATTCCAAGCCTATTAACAAAGCCCTACAAACACTATTTTTCAGTCCATTGTAAGAATAAAAATGTCACAAGATGATGTTGTGCTACATGTTTTGAGCCAGATACTGAATGTTTTAATAAGCAGGAACTAATTTCCCTTTGGTCAGAACTTAGAATTAATATAGTGAAAAGGCAGGAGCTTGTTCCTTTTTAAATTATCCAGTGGGAAAAAGGGGCAAATAAAGATCTAAACGTGAAATTTTAATTAAATTAAATGCAATAACTGTGTTTTTAGTGATTTTCATAAGAGTGTCAGAATTTTAAAAATTAACTCTTTCCAAATTGCCATAGTTTCCAGATACTTTCCAAATTTTATTTTACTGTAGTAGCAAGAGGAAGCAGTTCACATTTGGTCAGATTTCATTTGACACAACTTTTTACATCAACTCTCTAGTGATCCAATTAAAACTACTTTCTTATAATGTTTACCGTATAAAGTATCTTGACTTGTTTGTTTTATGAATAAAAATATAGCTGAACATCTATTTCTGAATTTATTAGTCTCTTCATTTTTAAATATTTGTCATGTATGTATGAAATCTAGCATAGGTCATAGACTACCAAACCAGTGGCATAGCATGGGTTGCCAGCACCTGTGCCGGGGTGCATCTGCATGTGTCACCCCCACCCCCATTTAGCCATCAATGGGAAGGGCCAGGCAGGGGCTCAGGCCACGGCAGCCCCATCCACACCAGCATTCGGTGACCAATGGTAGTCAGCTGACTGCCCACCCAGATGAAGTCAGCTGGCCCATCATGCCTCTAGGGAGCAGGGGGGATGCTTGGCAGTATGCTCTCTCCATGTGATGGATGGAAGTGAGGTGGCTGCCTCAGGTGGCAGATGCTGGGCAGCAGCCGCTTGGTGACTGCAGCCAGGGCCATGTCTGTGTTGCCTTCAGGTGGGGTTGGGTGGAGAATCAGCCCCAAGCCCCCCCTTCCACTGCCTGAGGTGGGGGAGTCTGTGTGCTTTTTTTAATAACTTGGGATAGGGTATGGGATACAGAAGGTAAAAGGGAATGTAAGAATCTGTGTGGTGATGGGGACATGAGGCAGAGAGGGAAATATTGTGCACCAGCTGGTGTGGAAGCCAGACATCAATATGGCCTTGGCAGGGGCACTGCTGGCTCCTCCCCTGGCTCGCTCTCATACCCTCATCCAGTGACCAAGCCTGGTGGCAACACCCCTAATGTTTTGTGCCCTCTAAGAATTTTGTGCACAAGGTAACCACCTCTGTGCCCCGCCTCCACTACTCCATTGTGCCAAACTAAGAAACAAATCTCATTGATTTCAGCATTGATTGAAGCATGAACCTAAACTCTCCCATAAAAATCTATGGGACATATAAAAAGGGCTTGTCATTAGTTGGGTTATGCTACCTTAGCATTCAGTAAAGACTGTTGGTTTTTATTCTGATATTTAAGCTACTTTAATAAACATTATTACAGAAAACTGTGTTTTATACTTAGCATGACATTTGTGCAGATTTTAACCAAGTCCAGTAAAATAAAATAATATGTACAAAATACATGGGCTGAAATATTGCCTGCTTCCCAGACAGATGCTTCCAGCATTATCAAAAAAAATTATGCGGTTTTTGTGACAGGGTTATAAACGGAAGATTTCAATACCTGGACCCCGCATGAAATTCCATGAATGATGTGTTCGGCGCAATTGCACAATAAAAGTCCCATCCAGAAGCATTCTCACTTGCTACTACTAATAAAGTGGGGAAACAACTGATATTAAGAAGATTGACTACAAGTAATCAAATATATATTTTAATTGGTTTAGGATTTACCTCTGCCTTGTAGATTGCGATAAGGACAAACTGATTTAAGTGTTATGGATACAAAGACTCTGAGATATAGTATGAAATTTGACTGAAGAATCACATTTACACATTAACCTGGACCCTAATGACAAAGAAGTATGCTTCTTAAATAAATAAATAAATATAAAATAAACTAATACAAATATAAATCCCTGTAGATTCATAGAAACAGTTCAGAAGGAAAGTGTTTTTTAAAAAGTATTTCAAAGTTTTTATGAGTTTGTTAGTGTCAAAATCACCGCCTCGTCGTCTAGTCGTGTCTGACTTTTCATGACCCCATGGACCAGAGCACGCCAGGCCCTCCTGTCGTCCACTGCCTCCCGTAGTTGTGTCAATTTCATGTTGGTTGCTTCACAGACACTGTCCAGCCATCTCATCCTCTGTCGTCCTCTTCTCCTCTTGCCGTCACACTTTCCTAGCATCAAGGTCTTTTCCAAGGAGTCTTCTCTTCTCATGAGACGGCCACAGTACTGGAGCCTCAGCTTCAGGATCTGTCCTTCCAGTGAGCACTCAGGGTTGATTTCCTTTAGAATTGATCAGTTTGTTCTTCTTGCAGTCCAGGGAACTCTCAAGAGCCTCTTCCAGCACCACAATTCAAAGGCATCAATTCTTCGGCGGTCTGCTTTCTTTATTGTCCAGCTCTCACTTCCATACATCACGACAGGAAAAACCATAGCTTTGACTATTTGGACTTTTGTTGTCAAGGTGATGTCTCTGCTTTTTAAGATGCTGTCAAAGTTTGTCATCGCTTTCCTCCCAAGAAGCAGGCGTCTTTTAATTTCGGGGCTGCTGTCTCCATCTGCAGTGATCATGGAACCCAAGAAAGTAAAATCTGTCACTGCCTCCATATCTTCCCCTTCTATTTCCCAGGAGGTGATGGGACCAGTGGCCATGATCTTAGTTTTTTTGATGTTGAGTTTCAGACCGTTTTTTGCACTCTTGTCTTTCACCCTCATTACAAGGTTCTTTAGTTCCTCCTCACTTTCCGCCATCAGAGTGGTATCATCTGCATATCGGAGGTTGTTGATATTTCTTCTGGCAATCTTAATTCCAGTTTGGGATTCCTCCAGTCCAGCCTTCCGCATGATGTATTCTGTATATAAGTTATTTAAGTTAAAATCACCACAGTACAATTAATATATCATATTTTTCCAGCCAATAACAGACATCAAGAGCATTTTGGGCATCAGCTCTTCCATAATTTTTGTTGATGTGAAGTTCCCTGTCCTTCGCACTTGCAAAGGACTGTGTTGTATATGAAAATCCTGTTTTCTTAAATTTACTTTGGTTCTGTTAGCTCCGGTCCATAGCTTATTACTATAAATTGTTCATTGGGTTGCAATATTTTCCTTCTCCAACCTGGTCCCCTCTAGATACTGTATGTTATACTACACGTCCAGCCTAACTACTGGTGCATGTCACGAACGGGTAAATGATTGTTAGTCATTTATTTTGTTATGATTGTGTTTTTATTATCACAGAGATGGAGAGGCGGAGGTAGGATCTTCTCTTTCCGACGTCAGAATTTTGGGCGCTCTTTAGAAGGAAACATGACCAGGAATTGGGGAGGGCATATTTTGCAGTTGTGCTTCAGGCGTACAGTGTTTGTACTGGGCCAGCTCCACGGATATGCTGGCACTTGCCTGTGAGGGAGGTCTGGGGGAGGAAAATTACCTTGTGGGTTTGGCTGCCCTGGCTGTATATACGGTGGGAACTATAACTAAAGAAACCTGAATCTAATCTTCCGGCTTCGCTTGCGAATCCGAAGAAGTGTGTGAGGAAAGGAAAAGAGCTGAGTAGCATCGGTTTGCCGAGGTGTTCGAAAAGAAAAGTCAGACCTTGCAGTCTTTTCTTCGTTTCCGGGCAGGGATCGCGTTTCGGGTCTTTCCCAAGACGACCTCTTGCTCGGCTAGGAACCCTTCTCGGCTTGCAGTTTCCTGAGGAGGGAATAGGCAGCCGGACCACTTCCGGCTGCGACTGCACCGGG